GAATGGGTGTGGTGTGTTTGGTAGAAAATAATGACAAACTTTTGAAATGTTTTAAGCAGCCTACCAAGCAAGTTCTCATGAGATAAAAATAAAACTAATTCATTTTTTTCTAGAAATTATACTTACATTTTGTCTCTTTTTGTGCATGTGTGTGCTTTTGTGACCAGCGAATAATTTATTTTGAAATGTCCAAGTTCTGAGTGTTCTATGCCTGTGCGGAACAACATTTTTGATTTGTTTGTGTGATTGAGTTCGTAAGTCGAAATAATTGTTGAGTTTGTTTTGTTTTGTTTTTTAAAAATATTTTTGTGTGCCTTACATGGTTGGTGCTTTTTTTAAAATTCCTGTTTTGTTTTTGTTTTTATTAAGGGGCGCCTTCCAGTTGGGTTTTTGAGTTTGCCCCTTTTGTCATTATCATCATAATCATCAGTTATTTTTATAGGCATCAGAGTTATCAACATCATAATTACCTTTGTGTCATAATCATTATCATCATTATTTTAAGTATTATTAGTCCTCATTGTGGTCATCATCAACATCTTGAACATCTTCATCATCTTTATCAATATCATTTTCATCATCATCATCATCATCATCATCATCATCATTATCATCATCATATTAGACATCAATGTCAATTGGAAAGGGCTTCAAATGAGTTTGGTTGTATTTTGCTATGGCTTAACCCCCCTCAGTTTGTGGCTTGTTGTTACCTATTTATAAGGCGTGCTGGCAAAATGAATTACTTCTCACTATCTACAAAATGGAGATATTGGCAAAAAATCAATAGTTGGGTCAAATTTGTAGATTTTCTATTTATGATTTATATGCCATATTTTTAAAGTACAACATGCCTTTTATAATTTCATACAAGGTATAAATTGTTAAAACTTCACCTATAAGCGTGATGTATCTATTTCCATAGAGTTCGAATCTGAGTAGTAAATCATTTTGACAGTACGCTTCTCATTTTATAGTTTTGATTTTATGGAAGATGAAGAGCAGGGACCTGCAGTCCTCTCATTAAATGACATACTTATGTCCTTTTTTTGTTTCTGGTTGGACTTACAATTCATGCAGAAAAAACACAATCCCTTCTGCTGATAGCATGGACATAGTAATGATTATTCTGACATGCTGGGTTATGTTATTGTGAAAGATTTGAGTTCGTCTTCAGGCCATCCCCAAAGGAGGGATATTAACATATTCTCATGCACTGTAGAATTGTAAAAATGGGCTGATTTATCAATGTCATGCTCATACTGTGCTGGAACAACATAGGAGGAACTGCTGCTTTTTCTTTCCTCATCCTTACTATCGTAATTTTCCGACTACTTCTTTTGTATTTTGTCTCTCTCTTGTGAACTGCCATTTCTGGGGTACCTTGATATTCGAAGCAGACTTTGTGCTGTTGAGGCTAGAGCGGTGAGCAGATTAAGCCTGATTCCCGATTTGGACTTCCCTGTTGACATCCACCTCTTGGCGCTCGTAAGACCTTATTACTAATATGCAGTGTGAGCGCCGTAAAACCTTATTTAAACTAAAATAGACGAGTTTGAAAAGGTCTACCCAGAGCTGCTGATTGTTTGGATGAATCCAGATTTCTAATATTGTCCAGATTTTGTACTATTGCTCGTGCTTATTATATAAATGAATTTAATTCAATTGGGTTTTTTGTTTGTTTGTTTGTGTGGTTTTATTAATGGTGTCTGTGGTTTTGTGGTTAGGTGCTTCTATGTTGTACGCAAGAGACTGTGGTTCTCTTCCCAGGTGGGGAGACTTTTTATCAAGTATCTCGGTCTTTCTGCTAGGATGTTGTGTACCTCTCAGTCTGGGTTGGCCCTTACAGGCAGAATTGAAATATTGCTTCCTAAATGATCTAAATTGTGTTGATGGGGCTGTGTACGTGTTCATATTGTGTGTGTGTGTGTGTGTGTGTGTGTGTGTGTGTGTGTGTGTGTGTGTGTGTGTGTGTGTGTGTCAGGGGCTGATGTTTTGCTGTTTTATTGCTTTTTGTTTCTTAAGTGAAAGATTAAACAACAGACATGTGTGTACATATTTATACTGTTGATGTTGCGTTGATTCTTGAAAGAAATTGTTTGTGTGAGTGGTTGGCGGGTGCTCAGCTGATGTGGTTTGCTCCTTCTTTCTTGTCAAACATCTGTCTTCCTTGTCTCTCCTTCTTTTTTTTTGTGTTTGTTACTCGCTTGTCACACCTCTAATATTCAGCACTTATAATATATGACTTTATTGTGTTGCAAGTGCCGTAAAACTCTTACTAAAACTAAAACTAAATTGTTTGTGTGTATTTGGGTGGTGCTCTGGTGTGGTTTGCTCCTTCTTTCCTATCAAACATCTACCGCAGGTGGTTGGTGGTTGCTCTGGTGTGGTTTACTCCTTCTTTGCTATAAAAAAATCTATCATCCTTATCTTTTCTACTTTTTCGTGTTTATTACTCTTTTGTAACGCATCTAATCTTCAGCACATTATGACCTTCTTGTGCTGCAAGTGTCATAAAACTCTTACTAAAAAAAATAATGTGTAGGCCTACCGTTCTTATCGCTCCTCCTCCTTTTCTTTGTATCTTACTTTCTACAGTAACACCTCTAATATTCGGCACTTACCTTAAGATCCGTTCGTATTGCAAGTGCCGTAACACTCGCACTAACGTGGGTGGTTGGTGGGTGCTCTGGTGTGGTTTGCTTCTTCTTTCCTATCAAACATCTATCGTCCTTATTTCTGCTCCTTCTTTTTTGTGTTTGTTACTCTCTTGTAACACCTCTACTCTTCGGCACTTATATGACCTTATTGTGTTGCAAGTGCCGTAAAACACTTACTAAAACTAAACTCGCACTAAAACTTTTTTTTTAAAGCAAAAAATTGTTTTGAAGTCTGTTTGATTTAAGATTGTGACTGTCAACTGTGGTCAAGCAGTTAGGTGCCTCACTGTTGTACACACAAGACATGGATTCGATTTGCATGTCGGGAGAACTTTTATCATGGAGTGACTTTCTGCTATGATGCGCTATCCTATCCCTCTAAGCCAATGTCGGCCCTCATGGGCAGGACCAAGGACCGCCTCATAAATGATCGAAATTGTGTTGATGGAGGTGTAAAAATATCTCTTCTCTGCACTATATGGCCGCCATTTTGTGCCAAAAAAATATGTATTCCCTTTACTCAAACTCAAAACTCAAACTAACCTCAGTTCACATACACGTGAGACAAAAGAAAGTTCAGGACTTCGGGAACACTGAAATAGTGGAATTTTCAGTTGTACATGTATTCCGCAGGAAAAAAAATGACATACAACAAAACTTGAAACAATGTGTTTAAAGGAATGAACCGAAAAAGAAGAAAAAACATTATTTTTTTAAAACCCACTAACTGAATTAAAGTGTATCTTTTGTGTGTTGCAGAGGTTTTAAACAAGAGAAGGAACAGAGAAAACAAGGACAGTGTTTCGAGCATAAGACAATGAGTCATGCTTTTGTTTTTGTTTGCAGGAAAGTTACAATTACATATACACTGAAAATACATGAACTATGATCATTATCCATAGAAGTGCTTAGATAATAATATTATTATATTCTCATTAAAGTAAAGAAAAAAAAAGATATCTTTCTATATGAGAGACGTGAGACTATCACATTAGTTGTCAGACTTCATATTGAATGATACATTCATACATGAATATCACACCAGACACATGACATATAAACTATTTCAAAATGGACATCAGAGTCTGAGCAAGTCCGTTGCTGCACAATATAACATGTGAGCCGTCGTCTGTGAGAGTGTGAGTAAATTACCCGGTTGTACAACAAAAGAACGTTACGTTGCCCCCCCAAAAAACATAGCCAAGGGGCTTAAGTGTAAAGGCATTGGCGGCTATATTCTGAGACAGTCATCTAAATATCTTTAGTATCGTTGAGACATTCTGAATTAATTAAGGAGATTTCCTGATTTCCCGTTAACTAACGCGTTTAACGCACAATTATAACCGCATTATCAATACCAACAAGTAGGTATTTATCATTATAATTCATTTATTGCTGTTTCTCGATTCTCGGAGGCCTGCCAAGAACTTCATGAAAATGCACTGTTTGGTGTGCAATGTTTATACAACTTATCGCCTATGACGTGATAATGCACAATTCTGAGTGCAATATTTATGCCACATATCACAATTGACGTGAAAATCCGTGACAATATACACTGTTATTTGCGTATAATCATATTCGCGAAAGACATATTAAAGTTTATTTACTACAAACGGTTCCTAACCCTAACGCAGCCTCAATCTACTGGTGTTCTGGGGACTCTGATTTATCCCCCCCCCCCCCAAACTCCGATTTTTTGGAAGAATTCTGAGGAAAACTACCATTTGGTCCTAGAGTAACAGGCGGGTGTGTTCTCGGGCGCTCCATGGTGATATTTGCCAACACAATAAATGACGTCATAATGTACACCACTTGAGATAACAGAGCTGCTGACTCGGCGGAATTAACAAGTACCGAGTTCAACAACAGGCAACAACAGGTCACAACAGGTCAGGTTACAATTAATTACAACTGTTGGGGACAAACAAATCACGTGTACACAGAAATATACAACTCCTTTTTTTTCAAGTATCAAAACAGTCAACTAGAATTAGAAAAACAATTTTTTTTTAAACTTCCCCAAAAAACATACTTATTGCGTGAAAATGAAATGGTGAGCTGATAAGCTACTGAAGAAGAGGGATTCTCAGGTAAAAGATGACAAAATTATGATCGCTATTATAGTGCTATCATTGATAAATAACTACAATGATTCGGGTTAAGATTTCCCACCTCCTACAAGAAATTTCATGTATTGTAGAATTTAACAAAAATAACAGACACCACCTCTGAGGCAAATGTTCTAGATCTACGTAATATACTTCATCTTGGGAGCATGGCGTGGTTGACTCCTTTCTTCACAAACGTCTATTGAATTATATTATAAATCTTTCTTCCTTCATTTATTTGTATGTTACGCTCTAGTAACACCTCTAATTTGTGGCTCTTATATGACCAGGTAGTGTAGCAAGTGCTGTAAAAGTCTTTACTAAAACTCGTATTTCCTATGGCTATCTTGACATGTAAAAAGATAGCCCTTACTTATTTCTCCTTTTGTTAAAAGAAATATACAACGTATCTAACAGACGTAGGAACATAACACACACCAGTAACATAACATCTCCCAGGTAAACTTTCTACGTCACTTCAACATGATGCAGAACCCCCTCCCCTTCAGCAAAATTTCAATTTTTTTAAAAATGTAACAGACTATCTCGTCGTATTAATTTAAAAAACAAAAACTTCGTCTGAAGCAACTTTCAGACATGTTTTTCAATTTACACCCTTCCCTTCCCATTTCCACCATCACCCACGCCATTCTTCATTTCCCTCAAAAACGAAAGAAAACGAGTGGAGAAAGAAGCAGACGTGCTGAAAGAACTATTAAATTATCAAGCTGTGAAACATTCTTATTTTGATCAACAACCCCGGACCTTTTCTCTCTCCTTTTCTGAAAATAGAAAAGCAAAGCAAAACAAACAAAATATACGATTTAGAATGAAGCAGACGTGCAAAATAAACTAAAAATATAAATTTGAAAAAAAAAGAAAAGAAACATTCAAAAGCGCCAATCAGTAACATATCATGTCAGAGGGTAACTTCCGGCGCCTGCCCTCACTGAAGAATTTGAACTCGAGACTCTGCATGGCCTTGGCGGGCTCTGTGTCCAGGCGGTGTCCGTAGTTGCCGGAGTTGGTGTTGGGGATGTCGTCACTGAACATGACAGACTTCTCCGGGAGCTCTTCCTTCTCCTTGATGTTGCCCTGAACGACAGAAATTGTCATTATTACTTGTATAGCGCCGAGGCTCTCTTTCATATTTTGCTCCCCTTGTTTGGAATAGGCTTCCAAAAACTACCAGAGAAGCAGAAAATCTAGAAATTTTAAAGAAAAAACTAAAAGCATTTCTATTTTCATCGTATTTCGATTAGACAGAATCCATCCAAGCTGTAGATCGTCGTGAGTTTGTATGTGCGTATGTCAAGGAGTTTACAGTAGTTTTAAGCTCCTTGGCGCATGTACGTATGTATGTGTGTGTGGGTGGGGGGTGCGTGCGTGCGTGAGTACGTGTGTGCACGTGTGTGTAATACTATGTGCCTATAAAATTGATTTGTAATTCCATAATATGTTTCATGTTAAGCGCTCAGAGCATTGCATAAGTGGATATGCGCTATATAAATGCAATCCATTATTATCATTATTATTATTATTCTAAAGTTGTGAGTGGTTGAGGGGAGTCATATTATTTCTTCCTTCTTCTTGGTGTTACACTGCAGGACGAGCAGAAAAAACCATAATGATAATATACGTATTACAATCGACTACGGATGGAAGTCGTCGGGGGAATGAAAAAAAAAGGATCAATTCATCCAGTTCAACTTAATAGTACGGTACTGTAAAGAAGAAGAGATGCTGGGACCCGAGAAAAAGATCAACTTAACCGAGATCAACTCAGGCGAGATCGACACTAGTGGAGTCGATTGCAAATGAAATTACAATAGAATTATAGTATAAACGTCCGGCTGGTTGAAGAGAACCATAGTTCTTCCTTCTTCTTGATGTTACTCTATAGGACAAATATAGGAGAAGTTACCTTAATATTATTATGATATGATGGATAGCAAGAGGATAGTCAGAAGTTCCAAGGAACAATCATGGAAGGAATGTGGCGAAATGTTAAGTCAACTGTGCAAACACTAGCCACAACAGTTCTACAAAAGAGTCAAAGCAATGAGACTACAAAACAAACCATACAGCCCAATAACAGTAGCCTAGTCATTGACAAAGATGGAAACCCACTCAGTGAAGACGATAGCATAAAAAACAGATGGCAGGAGTGTTTCAGTGAACTCCTTAACCCAAGCAGCCAAGGAAACACGCAGAGCCAATTTCAACCACGATACCCAGAAGAAGAAGAACCAAACATCTTAAGATCAGAGGTACAGCAGACACTGAAGAATAGCCCAAGGAACAAAGCAGCAGGCATTGATGACATTACAACTGAAGCCATCCTGGCATGTGGAGAAACAGCAATCCCCTGGCTGACCACAATATTCAAAAAAACCATGGAGGGAGAGGAAAGCCCCAGAAAACTGACAGCGTGCAATTGTGATACCAATCTGGAAGAAGAAAGGCAGCAAGAAAGACTGCAACACCTACCGAGGAATTTTCCTTCTGAGCCACACAAGCATGATGTACTCAAAGGTCTTGGAACAGCGTACAAGGCACAAGAAGGAACCATTACAGAGTGAGTCGCTGATGGGCTTCAGAAAAGGGAGAGAGTGCACAGACGCTATCTTCGCTCTTAAACACTGAGTGAAAGAACAATTGCATACAACAAAGAACTGAATCTTGCGTTTGTAGACCAGGGAAAAGGCGTTTAATAGAGTAGATAGAAACAAACTGTGACAAACTCTTGAAGAGCACAGCATTAGGGGACAACTGTTGGACAACATCAGAGCTAACTACATCAACAGTATGAGCACAGTCCGCACCCAAAACTGACGGGTTCAACGTGTCATCTGGAGTGAGACAAGGGTGTGTGTTATCACTGCTACTATTCATAATATACATGAACAAAATTACAAAAGAAGCAAACCCCAATCCGATAGACCAGAATGAGTTTGCAGACAATCAACCTGGCATATGAGAAAGAAGAGCAGCAACAAGAGCACACATGAAGACCAGTAAAAGCAAAAAGGAGACGATGAAAATCAACAGAACACCTGGCAACCTTAACATCGCCATCGACAGAAATTCGCGGAAACAAGTCTGCGAGTTCAAGTATTTTGGTAGCATCTTTTCGGAAGACAGACATCTCAACAGAGAAATTGAGACGAGAGTACAAAAGGCTAACAACTACCAGCTTGCCCCACTCCTCAAACATCCTAACATCCCCATTGAGACCAAAGCCAAGCTCATTAACTCTGCCTTCATCCCAACCTTGACCTACCAGTGCCAGACATGTACCCTGACCAAAAGTCTGGAACGTAAGATTACTGTCTGCGAGATGAGATGTCTAAAGAGAGCCGTCAACAAAACCCGAGGGGACATGGTCAGAAACAACAAGATCAGAGAAATAATGGGAACAACACCTATCCTCCACTACATTCGAAGGCAAACAGGTGGTTTAGACATCTCACACGTATGGCATCTCACCAGCTTGCCAGTAAAGCCTACTACAGAAAAGTATCAGGGTTGCCTGCAAGGCAAGAGGAAGACTAAGAAAGACCTGGATCCAGGGTGTGAAGGATACCCTGAGAACATACATTATCCCACCCAGCCAGGCCATCAAACTAGCTAGAGACAGGGAGCTCTTTACCGACGCCCTAGAGGTACAAGAGGACGGATAAAGTAAAGAGAGATAAGATGGATTGTATTTGATGGAAATACAATAGAATTATAACATTAATAATGTGTGGGTGAGTGAATGGAGTCCTAGTTCTTCCATCTTTTTGAAGTTACTCTATAGGACAGATATTGGAGAAGTTACCATATCATGATAAAAAAAATTGAATAAATTAAACAGAATTACAAAATATATAATGGGTGGTTGAAGGGTGTCATAGTTTTTCCTTCTCCTCTATTTTACCTTACAGGACAAGAGCTGGAAAGAAGTTACCTCAAGATAAGATGGATTGTACAGTGTATATTTGATAAAACTGAATATAATTATACAATAAACTTGTGAGTGGTTGAAGGGTGTAATAGTTTTTTCCTACTCACCCTTGTTAACGTACAGGACAAGGATTGGGAAAAGCTACAGTAAGATTAGATAGTAGGAGGTAAGAGGGTGCCCGGTGTGGTTTGCTCCTACTTTCCTATCAGACGTCTATCGTCCTTATCTCTCCTCCTTTTGTTTGTGTTTTATTCTCTAGTAACACCTCTAATCTTTGGCACTTATACTACCTGAATGTGTCGCAAGTGTCGTTTAACTATTACTAAAACTAAGTTAAGATGAACTGTATTATATTAGATAAAATAGTATTACAAACGCGCGGATGCTTGAAGGGAGCCATAGTTCTCCCCTGTCCTGTGTTTCCCTACAAGGCCACATGCACATACAAACACGATCAAAACAGCACACACGCACACACACACACACACATACACACACACACACACACACACACACACACACACACACACACACACACACACACACACACACGCGTCACAAAAGGCTTACCTTCGCATCGTAGTCTGTTATGAACCCCCAGCTGTCTCCCCTGGTGATGAGAATGTACAGTAGAGATGAAGTGTATGATATGATTGAGGTATCTATCTATCTATCTATCTATCTATCTATCTATCTATCTATCTATATATCTATCTATCTATCTATCTATCTATCTATCTATC